TCCCAGACCCCACGCCCTACGCCTCCGGGCCTCCGCCCCCCTCCCCGGTCACAGATTCGGCGTAGTCTGGTCGTATCTGTGACCCCAACATGCCGTTGTCCGAGCTGTTCAGGACCGGACATGTCTGAGCCCAGAGTTGGAAGGATGCCTCAGGCGAAACGAGCCGCCTCGTGAGCAGCATCTCTGAGCCCGGAGTTGCGATGATGTGTCAGGCGAGACTGGCTGGATCACCTCAGGTCAGGGCGTAGCTGAGCCCAGAGTTGCGAGGACGTTTCAGGCTCAGGCCAGACTGGCTGGACCACCTCAGCCCACGGCAGATCTGAGCCCAGTATTCCGAGGATGTCTCAGGCGTCGTCGTCGTCGACGCCATCATCGTCGTCATCGTCGTCGTCGTCGTCGTCATCGTCGTCCGTCTCCTCCTGCCATAGCAGGCCAAGAATGCTACGTAGATACAATCATGCGATACATATCACACGGAACGTGCCCCGGGGCCAGAAAACGGCCCCGGGGCCAGAAAACGGCCCCGAAGAATACAATCCGAGGCCGAGTGTCAACCAAAACAGGCGAGACCATTTTTTGATGAGAAATTGCTGCTCAAGGGAGAGAGAGAGAGAGAGAGAGAGAGGCGGAATCTAACAAACGCACACACAACACGCACACACACACACAAGCGCAGTCAACCCAAGCTCCCGTTCGTCCCGTGTCGCGTTCACGCTGCAGTGCTGCCCGCATCGTCATCTACTCAAACTGAATACCACCCTCCTCTCTCCCCCGCAGTTGCGGGAACCGCTCGCAACGACCCGGACAACAAAGAAAACACAAGACCCCATTTGGGGTCGGCGGCAGAGGCGGCAGCCTTTAAATAACTTGATAAGAGACTACAGTGGGCCCGTGTCATATGAATGCGCGATAAGGATACAAGGGCCTTGGAAGGCCATGTCGAAGCTTTCCGAGCGGGGCGCGGCCAACGAAAGTGGCCAAGGATGGACCGAGGAAGCAGGGATGCAAGGGTCCCCTTAAGAAGGTTGCCCATCCTAACTATGCGGGTTGACTGTAGCGCCAACGCGTGTTGCACACATGCCTTCTGCCAGAGACGTGGCAACGCAATCGCGAAAAAAAAAAAAAAAAAAAAAAAAACAAAAAAAAAAAAAAAAAAAAAAAAAGCAACGCAATCGCGAGGAACAATATGTACGGGCAACAAGCATATGAGTCGCGGTATTGTGTGGAGGGGCCAAACACAATAATGTCATCGGACCAAAAAGTGGTGCCGCAGGAACGATCCGTACAGGAAGCGCATGTTGCACGTGCACACACACAAAGCAATCACAGCTGTCACAATTCAACGTGGACACGCGCACGTAGGAGCAATAGCGCAAGATGAGGATGCGTGAACATTGTACATCCAGGCGGAACTGGGACGACCTGAGGCCAAACAGAAAGAAGGGAAGATAGGCAACACAAAAAACAATGCCAAGGCAAACATGATGGAGCACGGAAATGCGTCCTTACGGACAGTTGCTGGCTCTAGCGTCTTACACCGCGTGGACCGTTCAATCTTCGTGGACCGTCATCGCTCCCACATATCCCCAGAAGCTCTTGGAGACATCATTCGTGGGCGTTGAGGCAAACGCTGGAAAGCTCTTTGATGCTGCTGCCCGACCAGCCATGGATAGTTACCAGGGCTTAGGAGGGCACTGAACATCGTCACGATGCTCAAGGGGGCACGCAAGCGAGGCTTCCTCGGCGGACGGGCTGGCAACCGCCGACGAGACCTCATGACGTTCAGATTGGTGGAGCTTGCATTATGGTTGGCCACGTTCATCGGGGTCCCGTGAGGCGGTTTCGTGAGAAAGGTGTGTTGCTCGCTCATCCTGTACGTGCGCGGGAATGGAGTGGACTGAAGAGTCTAGCTTCCCGATGTGTCAGCGTCTCTTTCCCCGCGGAACACTGTACATGCCGTCAAACAGCCGCCTGTGGCAGATATGCGGGTCATGATGACCCAACATATGTCTACATTCCGTCGCACGGCTCCCATAGCTGGGCTGCTGCAACAAGGAACGCTCAAGAAGGAACGAAGCCCTCTTTTTGGGTACGAGAAGACCCAGGGTGCACGAGCAGGGCCCGAGGAACAGCCATGGAAGGACATAAGGAACGTCTAGCCCCTTCCGAGCCCAAACTCTTCCTTATTTCAGCGTCTTGGCTGTACCTGGGGCCTGTGACCGACCGTACCTCTTCGTGCTCCGTTGAGGCTCCGACCGCGCCGTGCGATCGTCTGCGCCGCGACAAGAAAGTGTGTTGGGGACGCACCTTGAGCCATGCAAGAGATGCGCCACTGAATGTAGTTGGACTTGGAAGACGTGGACTTGGGTACGTAGCCTGACCATCGCCCTCGCCCCGAAGCCGCGTTGCACTGCTGTGGTCTTGGTGTCATCCCCCAGAGCATTGAAGGAAGTGGGCCTGTGGCAAGTTCACACCATGATGACGTCGGCTTTGGTCTGTGACAACGTGCGGATTGCCCATCCTTGAAGACTGGCAGCTGTCGGGTAGCGCAGATCGCGATTGTTCGATACTGGCCGATCCTTTCGGGGCTCAATTTTGTTGTGCACCTTCCGCAAAAACACGCAAGTCCAGCAGAAGACCGTGGAGCGGGGCTCGTGTACGACAATGACATCCCCTGGGGACGCGACTGCCTCAAGAAGCAAGCTCTAACACTGCCTCAAAAAGCAAACATCGGCCCCGACTCCTGGTCACCATCGACATCTCGCGTTGGCGTGGGCGCAAACATGATCGGCGGCGAGCGAGGGGGGAAGTGAGAAGGGGCGGGCCTTCTCAGAAGGCTCGGAAGTCCCCGAGCCCTCTCAGAAGTCTACTAAGCCCTCCCTGACGAGGCAACAAACTTCTCAGAAGGCGCGAGGGGCTTCTGAGAAGTCCCGCCGCCTTCTGAGAGGGCCTTCTCCTTCTCACTTCCCCCCCTCGCCCGCCGCCGCCATGACTTCAACGTGGCCCAATCCGCCCGACGCTGCGGGGTCCAGCGTTCCAACAGACCGGACGCCCAGGTAGAGGCCCAGGACCTCAGGACAGAGGACGGCACGAGGTGGTGCCGGGGAGCGCCGCGGCCGCCACGAGAGGCGACCGGCGGGGAGCCGACGAGGCGCCCGAGGGTCCCCCGCCTCCTCGCCGTGGCGATACGACGACGGCGACAGCGCGACCCGAGGCCTCTCGGGGATGGACAGACCCCCCTTGAGTAAGACGTGGTTTAGTGAAAACGGCTTCGGGCCCGAACCTGTCGGGCGCACGGCCTGGAGAATGACGGCCGCGGCGCCCTCTCGAGAACCGAGAATGGACAACTCACTAATCGACGTGTCAGGGTAGGAGGTCTGTCCATAGGGGAACAACAATTGGCACAAACATAAAAACTCGGAGGTCCGCGCGGATTTCTCGGATCCGCGCTGTGCCCCTCTGGTGGCGCCTCCGGCGCCGCCCCTGGCGCGCTCCGCGCGCCAGGGAGGGGGGGTCCAGCGCCGATCCGAGAAATCCGCGCGGACCTCCGAGTTTTATGTTTGTGCCGCTTTTTGTTCCCCTGGTCCACCCCCGAGTCTCCTGGAGGGCTGGCCCACGAACAGGTTCCGTCGAGGAGGTCTCGGGGCACGGCTGGCCATCGATCGGACGTTCATTTCTTGTGTTTTTTTTCGGTTTCGTGCGTGGCTTTCTCGCCAAATGATTAAGGATGCTCCTCGATGGTCTTCGCTGAAGGAAACATGCACACGTCCGAGCGATGCCAAGGCCACGGGCGCGGCAGATCACCTCCATCGCGAGCAGAGCGGGTCTCGCAGGCTCGTGCGCGGAGGAGGCATCCGTCGCCACTCTGCCGGGCCGACTGAGCTGCTCGTTGTGCCAGGCGGCGGCAGCATCTCTTTCGTTATTTCTCTCTCTCTCTCTCTCTTGGTTTCTCTCCCCATTCCAGTTTTTGTTGTGTTGTTGTTGTTTTTTTTGTTCTCTCTCTCTCTCTCTCTCGCTGTCCCTGCCTCTCTCTAGGCGTCTAGGAGGAGGCGGGGGGGGGGACGGCTGGAAGCGACCCTGAAATGACCAAGGACGTCGTCAGCAACGACATCGGCATCGATACCATCCGCCAGGCCAGGTCTGTCAGCAGCGATGTCGACACGCTCTTTTGTTCAACGTCTTCGATTTCGACGCAAGATGGGGCTACGGTCTATGGGCAGCAGGTCTGGCCGCTTGGTTGCGAACGGGCCGAGAACCAGCATGCGAGAGAGCAGAAGCACCGAGAGGCAAACACAAATAACGGCTGTTCGCCGTAAGCATTCATGAAATACCAGGTGACATCTGGACGAGAGCGACAGGCAACTGTCAATGGTATAGATAAAAAGGAAAATTGAGCTGCAAAGCCCTCCTGCTGCGCTCCACGACGCTGGGCAGTGCATGTTTGGCATGGGAGCGTGTATTCTTGTGCGCGTGTGTGCGTGTGCGTGTGCGTGTGCGTGTGAGTGTGTGTGTGTGTGTTTGTGCGTGGTGTGGCGAGCCTGAGGCAGAAGAGAGCCATCTCTGGCACTTGCCAAGGCCTGAACTCTTGGCAGAGCCCCGTGCAAATCCCTGTCACTACTGCCTACTCTTGAGCCACGAGTAGTGCCCTGGTCCCGCGAGGCGCAGGCTGGTCACCGACGCGCCCATGCCACGGTGCTCGTCGTACATCTGCCTCACGTGCGCCCACGCGTGCGGCATCGCGGCCAGCTGTTCCTCCTCAGTGAGGTGCTTGAAGCCCTGCACAGTGCGGCCGGTGGAGAGGCACGTGAAGGGCGTGGACATCTCCCACTCGTTGAGCGTGTAGTCGAAGGTCAGGGGCTCGCCCACCACCAAATCCTTGGCGGCGTACACGGCCACGCAGCCGACCGAGGGGTCGATGTGGCGGTGCTCCCCGGGTCGCAGGTACACGGTGGCCTCGGTGTGGAAGGCGTGGTTCATGAACACCCAAATGCCGTCTCCGCTTCCCTTCACGTCCGACGCATCCGTGAAGGCGTCGTCGCCCTGGCTGGGGACCGCGGTCAGGTGCTCGGTCGTGCTGTACTGCAGGCTGTGGCGGTTGCGCGTGCCCGTCAGCGGCGACTTGAAGGTGTAGAGCAGCTCGTGCCGCGAGCACCGCACGTTGCTGAGCATGGCCGTCTCCAGCTTGCCAGAGCTCTCCTCCAGGACCACGCGCGGGGACGCGGCGCTGACCGCGCGCGCCGAGGGCGCGGCGCCGCCGCGGGTGAGGGCGCGGCGTAGAAGGGCTGCCATGCTCTTCGTTGACGCTTGCTCCGGCGGTACGCCCCGCCTCCAGCAGGTGCGATCGACGGACTGTCGGGGTCCCCCCGAATCAAAAGAACAACAAAAGCAAGCCACAAAACTGAGCCCACGAAAGAGCTTGAACCAGAATTGTGACGGGATGTTGCCACGCTCTCTTTCGGAATAGTTCCACAGTCCGAAAGGATGAGGAAGAGGCGGGACGCATGGGAGGAAGACTGATGCCCAAACGACCCTGATGAGGTGGATGAGGTGGAAGAGTGAGAAACGACATTGACTCCCAAGGAGGAGAAAGAGGAAAGGAAACAAAAAGGACCGATGCCCAAACGACCTCAACGAGGAGGAGGAGGAAACGACCGTGACTCCTGAGGGGGAGGAAGAAACGAGAGGGAGAAAGAGGGGCCGGGCGGGGCACAGCCCGGGAGAGGGTCGGAATCTCTAAAGCAAAACTGATTTCAAATACGAGGCGGATGTATTTCCCAAATCCGCATTGCTGTTGAACTTCTTGTGCCGCTTGGGCACGATGAGTCCTTTCTGGTGGCGGTGATCCTGTGGCTTCGCCGTGTGCTGCTAGGGGTGCCATGATCGTCGCCTGGGCTGTAACCTTGCCGGCTACTAACAACTTCCTGGGGAGCCGTGATCGTCGCACTTCAATCTCAAGACCGCCAGCCAGGTGGTACCACTCGCCGTTCACTTTTTCCTTGTCTCAATTTTTCCCAACCATCCTGTGGTGTTGGGTCCTCGTTTTGACGAGACAACGCCCCGCGTCACCTCCTCCTCCTCCCGCTGCCCTCCTCCCTCCTCCTCCTCCTCCTTCTCCTCCTCCCTCCTCCCTGCGTTTCACCCGCCCAGTGCAGCGTTTCGTGGCCCCATAGGGAGCTCCACCAAGGCGCCAGTGGCAGGGTTCGCATGGCGGCCCCGCGCCATTTTGGCGCACCCCTCACACGGTTCGTGGCCCCAGATGGAGCTCCACCGAAGGCCCCAGTGGCAGGGTTCCCATGGCGGCCCCGCGTTTTGGCGCTCCCCTCACACGGTTCGTGGCCCCATAGGGAGCCCCACCGACGGCCCCAGTGGCAGGGTTCGCATGGCGGCCCCGCCCCATTTTGGCGCACCCCTCACACGGTTCGTGGCCCCATAGGGAGCTGAACCGAAGGCCCCAGTGGCAGGGTTCGCATGGCGGCCCCGCCCCATTTTGGCGCTCCCCTCACACGGTTCGTGGCCCCATAGGGGGCTCCACCGAAGGCCCCAGTGGCAGGGTTCGCATGGCGGCCCCGCCCCATTTTGGCGCTCCCCTCACACGGTTCGTGGCCCCATAGAGAGCTCCACCGATCGCCAAGGCGGCCCCGCCCCATTTTGGCGCACCCCTCACACCGTTCGTGGCCGCATAGGGAGCTCCACCGAACGCCCCAGTGGCAGGGTTCCCATGGCGGCCCCGCCCCATTTTTGGCGCTCCCCTCACACGGTTCGTGGCCCCATAGGGGGCTCCACCGAAGGCCCCAGTGGCAGGGTTCGCATGGCGGCCCCGCCCCATTTTGGCGCTCCCCTCACACGGTTCGTGGCCCCATTGGGAATTCCCCTTGCTTCGTCTCACCTGCCCTGCGGTTCTCACACTTGCGTGTGGTTGCGTCTTTCGCTCGGATAATTAAATGCGTATGCCGGGATGGTCTCAGCAACGGCCAGGGAAAGTTCATTCCGCATCGTCGACATCTCTGTGTGTGCGTATGTGTGCGTGCGTGCGTGCGTGTAGGTGTGTCGTCTTCAGCTCCTCGAGGCAGCTCCATCCCTGGAAGACTTCAGCAAAGGCCGGCCGCCCGTGGCTCATTCGCAAATCCCTGGCTGACGACCTTGGAAAATTCTGGCGCCCACCAGCTACCCCCCCGCCCATTTGTTGACGGTTCGCCTCGCGATGGACCCCGTCGCTGTCACTGAATCGCACTACCTGGGCGTACGTTGGTTTCTGGTGCCTGGTGCCGCCCGCGCCCCCCCAGCAGGCTCTCTGCTGCTCGGGCCTCCCCGTCTCTCCTGCCTCCGCGGCCGCCTTCTTCTTTTCCCCCCGCACTTGCGCGCTGCAGCGCAACGCGCCCCGTCGGCTGAAACCCACGCCAGCGACCGAATGCGCTGCAGACAAGTTAGTTGCGCTACAGAGGACCCCTTACGCCTATGTCATGTGTGCCATAGGTAGTATTGCTGTTACGACAACGACGGCCACTACGAATACGACAAAAACTGTGAATGCCACGAATACCAGTTCAACTACTAATATTACTGCTAGTCCTACTACTACTACTACGACTACTGCTACGGCACGACGACGACGACTACTACGACTACTACGACTACTACGACTACTACTACTACTACTACTACTACTACTACTACTACTACTACTACTACTACGACTACTACGACTACTACGACTACTACTACTACGACTACGACTACTACTACTACTACTACTACTACTACTACTACTACTACTACTACTACTACTACTACTACTACTACTAATAATAATAATACTACTACTACTACACTACTACTACTACTACTACTACTACTACTAACTACTACTACGGACCCTACTACTCACTACTGCTACTACTACTACTACTACTACTACTAGTACTAGTACTACTACTACTACTACTACTACTACTACTACTACTACGACTACGACGAAGAAAACTACTACTGCTACTACTGCGACTACTGCTACTACTGCTATTACGACTACGACTTACGCACACGACGGCTACCACTACTACTACGCATACGACTACGCATACTACTACTACAACTACTACTGCTACTACTACTACGACCACTGCTACTACTACTACTACTACTACTAGTACTACTACTATTGTTACTACTACTACTACTACTACTACCACTACTACTACTACTACTACTACTACTACTACTACTACTACTACTACTACTACTACTACTATTAATACTACTACTACTACTACTACTGCTACTACTACGAATGCAGCTAATACTACTACTACTACTACTACTACTACTACTACTACTACTACTACTACTACTACGACTACCACTACTACTATGACGGCCACCACGACCACTACTACTACTACGACTACGACTACTACTACTGCTACTACTACTACTACTGCTACTAGTACTACCCCGGATACGAATGCAACTACAAGATTACTACGGCTACTACTACCTCCGCAGCTATGACAAGCACTAGTAATAGTACGTCGACTACTACTACTACTACCCCTACTACTACTACGACTACGACTACTACTACTACTACTACTCCTACTGGTGCTGAACTCACTACTATCACTACTACTACTACTACTACTACTGCTGCTGCTACTACTACTACTACTACTACTACTACTACTATAGCTTCTACCACTGGGATTAGTGCGACGACTATCGCTACTTCTCTCATTAGGACTACAACTTTGTTTATTACGACTACCACCACCGCTAGAACCACTAATGCCACTAAGCTTACCAGTACTACGAATACTACACTACCTGCACTATCACGAGTTCCTTTACTACGACTACTACGACTACGACGACGACCAATACTACAACAACCACTACCACACGCGCTACTACCCCGACTACGGTCACGACTACTACGACGACCTCTACTACTACGACTGGTACGACTATTCCTACCAACGCGGCCATCACCATTTCTACTGCTACCACAACTGCTGCCAATACTATTGTTGCAACTACTATTCCAAACACGACGACCACCACTAGGACTACTCCTACGAATGATGTTACTACTACTACTACTAATACTACTACTACTACTACTACTACTACTACTACTACTACTACTACTACTGCTACGATTACTACTACTACTACTACTACTACTACTACTGCTACTGCTACTACTAATATCACTACCACGACTGCGAATACTAATAGTACGACGGCAACCACGCCTGCCAATACTCCTAATACTATTGCAACTGCTACAACAACAACTACTACCACTACCACTACGACGACGACTACTACCACTCCTCCTGCTACTACTACTACTACGACTGCAACTGTTACCACCACCGCTGCTAAGACGACCACTTCCACCATCTTCTATGACTACTATTACTCGTAACGTTAGTATACTCCAACTACGAACAAGACTACTAATAGTACCAATACTACGGCTACGACGGCTCCTAGACGACTGCGGCTAAGAAGACTACTACTACTACGGCTACTACTACTACTACTACTACTAGTACTAGACTACTACGGCTACTACTACTACTACTACTACTACTACTACTACTACTACTACTACTACTACGGCTAAGCATCCTACTACTACTATTATCACGACTACGACGACTACGACGACTACAAACAATGAAATTAAGGCTACGGTTTCTACCACTACTGCTGCTACTATTACTTCAGCAACTACGACGGCTACTACTACGACTGCCACTACGGCCAAAACTTCTGCTACTAACCTTATTTCTAGTAAGAATACCACAACCGCTACAACCTATAAGACCACCGACATTCTACCACGACCAAGAATAATATCACTACTACCTGCACGAATCCGACGATTACCACTACGACTACTAATATTACTTCGGCTGCTACTACTACTACTACTACTACTACTACTACTAGTACTAGTACTGGTACTGGTACTAGTACTAGTACTAGTACTAGTACTAGTACTAGTACTAGTACTAGTACTAGTACTAGTACTAGTGCTAGTACTACTACTACTACTACTACTACTACTACTTCTTCTTCTACTACTACTACTTCTACGACTACCACGGCAAGGGCTACTGCTACTACTACTACCACTACGACTACCACTGCTACTACCGCTGCTACTGCAACTACAACTACCACCGCTTTTACTACTGCGACCAATTCTGTTACACGTGCGACGGCAACGACTGCCACCACTACCACTACTACTACGACTACTACTACTATCATTACCTGTGCTGTCACTACTACCATACGCTATACTACTACTACTACTACTACTACTACTACTGCCACTACTACTACTACCCCTGATACTACTAGTACTACTGCTACTACTAGTAATAGAAAGATTACTATCCCTACTATTACTACTGCCGCTACAACCACACGTACGCTTAC